CTTTGGTGTGGTTGTTTTGGAGATAATGTGTGGGAGAAAAGCTCTTGACTTATCCTCATCAGGATCCCCAAGGGCATTCTTGATCACAGACTGGGCATGGTCCTTGGTTAAATCAGGGAACATAGACGAGGCTTTAGATGCTTCCCTTTTAAAAGATGGTGATTGTCCTACTTCAAATCCTAAGAGCATAATGGAAAGGTTTTTGCTTGTGGGGATTCTATGTTCTCATGTGATGGTTGCTTTGAGGCCAACGATTTCTGAAGCTTTGAAGATGTTGGAAGGTGATGCCGAAGTTCCAGAAATCCCTGACCGGCCTATGCCTCTTGGACACCCTTCATTTTACAATGATGATAACAATACTTTTAGCATATCTCCAGCATTAAACGGCCCAAAATTGCGTAATGGAGACATGCTCAGGTAATAGACAAGTCAACTTAATTATTCCTTACATTGCGTACGAAGCTGGGAGCTTTTCTCGCCATAGGGCTTGCCTCAAGTTTAACTGAATCTTGCTGATGAAAAAATGGCTTCATTTGAAGTTCATAACCTGATGAGTATTGTGGGATAATTGAATTCCATATCACCAATTCTCGTCAACATTTCAAGAACTGAAGCTTGAAATGCCAATAGGCCTACCTTTGTGGAGGTTCTATTCTGAAGTGTGGAAAAACTTAGCAAGCAGGGCATGATTGGAACTGTTGTCTCTTTACATCTACTATCTAAGAAACTATAATTCACTTGAGCTGTTGAAAATAGGTATAGGATAAAAGTCTTAGATTGGCTAGCTATATGGTATAGAGTTCTGCAATTTTCATGTATTTCTTGGTTTTGCTTTAGGCTCTTGTATATAGAGGGAAATGTAAATTCAAGCGCAATTGAAGTGCTGGTGTTGTTTCATAAGATGAATAGGGTGATCTGTTTCTTATCTTTTCCTTGGTCCTCAGCAAACTGTCATGTTCAATATTGCTTCTTCTTTCTTGCGTCATATTGGATGTGAGTAGCAACTTCACCATTTGATGAATTTGCGAGGCTGATGGCTATGTTTAAAACAGGTTCATGGGAGATAATTGATCACTTCAGAAGGATCTGAGGCCCAAGATCTAACTTCCAGAGCCTATCCCTCCCTCTTATTTTTTTTCTTTTCATGTGTGCGCCATTTAAAAGGAAAAAAAAAAGCTCAAGCTTTTTGTTTTTTTGTTTTTGTTTTAATGTCAACTTCTTTTGATTCATAACTTTTCCTTGGAGAGTAGTTTAGAATCTTTAGATAGCTTTCTGCAGGCTTGTAAATACTTGTCATCGAGCATCTAGTAAGATTTTGGTTACGTTTGCTCTTAAAATCATTAGATTTGAGGTTTTTTCTTTCAGAGTCAGGGACAAGAGATCATTGCGAGTTTTGTTTAATTTGTTTGGTCGCATTCTTCTTGCGTCAAGAAACAACTGAGGGAAACAATTGTTTATTGGGAAGGGAACTTTCCGTGCCAAAATAAGTTATTATGTGTTGCAATAGGATAATATAAGAAAAAGGGGGGGGTATTGATGGAAAGATAAACAAATTTGCAGAACAAAAATGATAATTGATAAATATGATGTGGCAAATTAAATAGAATATGTGACATGTAATGACACCATACAAATAACCAGAAGTTTGTTCTATCACATACATTTTATGATCTGTTTGGTATGAGAGAGAAGGGGAGAAGAGAGAAAAATTTTATTAGTTTGGTTTAAAAAGTTAAAAAATTAAAATTAAAATTTTTTAATTAGATTTTCGTGCTCTTTTATTTTATACTTTCTCTTTATGATAATTTTAAAATTTTATTTCTTTAATTTTTTAAATCAAACTCGTTAAAATTTTTTCACCCCTTCTTTTCGATTTTCTTGTACTAAACATTGGGTTAAGTTCTTATTAAGTTAAAATTCTATTTAGTTTTATGAGACAATTTTTCTTATATATTTTACATATTTATTTTATGCAGCACAAAATCAATTAAAATAAAATAATTCGAATTAGTTTGTACAAAAGCTAGTTTTAAGTTAATATTTTATTCTGCAAAATTTTTGTATCAAAAGTCAAAAGTAGGTTTTTAGAACGACGGTTGGACATTCTATGAACGTGGCTAGGTTTAGAGTTAACTTTATAACGTTATTTTCAACTTTTAAAAAAAAAAAAAAAGACTTGAGGTCTGTGAAATAAAAAATGGAAACGATGCAGAGAATCCTACGAGTTCTAACGGTTTTTCCATCATGTAAGGGCAACCACTTTATTTTTTTGGGGGCAGACATGATAATGAAATGTTGAGATTTTTCATGAGGAAGAAGATGATTTCTTATACTAACCCCCCTTAATTAACTCATTTAATTTTTATTTTAATCTTAAATTTAAAATATTAATATATCTTATCTCTTATATTTATTTATTTTTTTTAAATAGTCCTTATAATAATGATAGTTTTAACTAATATACTTAATTAGTAAACATATTTTAAAAAAGATACTACCTCCGGTCCCAATTATAAGACTCAGTTGACTAATTTGGGAAGATTAAGGAACTTAGTTGAGTTAGTTATTTGTAATGAATAGGTATTGTTTTTCCTAAAATATCCTTACTAATCAAGTGTATTGACTAAAACTATAATTATTAGAAGGACTATTTTGGAAAAAATTGAGTAAATATGAGAGACAAAATAGATTGATGTCTTATATTTAGGACTAACATAAAAGTCAAACGGGGTCTTATATTAAGGATCGGAGGTAGTAACATGTATTTATTACAAATAACTAACTTGGCTAATTTTTTTAATATAAAGTCAACTAGCTTTTATATTAAGGCTGGAAGTAATATTATCCTATCCTTAATGTAAGAATTAGTTGACTAATTTGAGTAAATTAGAAAAATTTGAAAATTTAGTTATTTGTAATAAATAAGTGACACCTTTCCTAAAAAACCTTTACTAATAATATATATTAGTTAAAATTACTATTTGATGGAACTTTTAACATGGGCAACTATTACAAGTACAATTTAGAAAAAAATAAATAAACATGAGGGATAGAATATATTGGGAGTTTTATATTTACAATCAAATTAAAAATCAAAATAGCTCTTATATTAAGGATCGGAAGTAGTATGTAGGAGGTTGTGTGTTCAATCTCATTTAAAATTCTAACTTATTATCTTAGTTCTTAATATAAGATCCATGTAATTAGTTAAAATAGATTAAGAGGGGTAATTAATTGGGAAAATCGCAAAAAAAGAAAACCCTAAATTTGAAAAACACATGTAAGGACTCGTGATAACTTCATTATGGGTTTTGACAACTTTATGACATATTATTATTGTCAAAAGCTATAGTGAAGTTGTCACGAGTCCCTATCTGTGTTTTTCAAATTCTAAGGTCTTTAATTACGATTTTTCCTAATTAATTAGTTATTTTTCTAAAATATGTGTGTTGATTTTTTTTTTTAAATGCCCTCTTAAATTATTTGTGCCGAAACTATTATTTAATACAAACTTTCTTATCATGTATAATCAATAGGGATTGTTCAAAAGGAGAAAGATAAGTATGGAGACAAATTAGATCGATATCTTATATTTAAAATCAAACTTAATTTTTAATTATCTCTTATGTTAATAACTGGAGATAATATAAATAGTTGTCTCTCAAATTAAAAGAATGAAGCAGCCTTTCCGGTGGACAAAAAGACAGCACTACGAATGCCTTTAGTTCACGTAAAGTGAAAGATGACAAACCATCCCACATCTAAACTCCATAATTCTCCACTTTATATTGTGTTTAAATGATGCGTTTTGCCATCATCCAATCCATTATCCTAATTAAATAACCGGACACAATGCACCAAGTTCGGGAAAAAAGGAATATTTACGACTTATTTTATATATATATATATTATATTGTTCAGTTGTCGAATCAAGATATTATCTCAAATATTAATAGTATATGTTTGGGGTGATTAATGACCTTAAAGTGAGATAATAAAAGCATCTGTTGATTTACTAAACAAAAAATAAGCATACGAAACATATAGGTTTAACGTGTATTTTTTTTATTATTTTCAGTATATGTTAGCCCCAGAAAAGGCAATTACACGTGTATTCATAATGCATGCGAGGGAGAGCTGACGTGGATTGCACTGGAGACAATTTCTTGAGCTAGTTCCAACGTGTCCAAAGAAATTCACTGGGGGATGTAGAAGCGCTAATTAGATGAGATCATATATGGAGTTTTCTTTTTAAACAGAAAGGCAAAAAAAAAAAAAAGTAAAAAAAAAGGGAAAAAGACTGAAAAATACCCTTAAATATGTGAAAACCCAGATAAGTGCATGTGAAAAGCAAAATACCATATCAAACCTGGGGTACTGATCTAGCATTTGCAAATGTTGTCCAAAGACATAATTGGCCCCGATCAATGCACAAAAAGAAAGACAACACAGAACGAAGCTTGTGACCAGAGGAGCTTCTGGGAAGGCAAAGGAGGGAATAAAAATCGGTGGAAGCTGTCAAAGAAAGGCAAGATAAGTTTAATTTTAAAGTCATTAATACTGTCTGAAGTTCAACTTCTTCTTCCTCCTCTCCTGATGGTTGTTATTTCGGCGGGCTGTGTATGTGGGTGAGTGGGTTTTAGGTGGGTTAAGAGGTGAAGGTGTTGGGTTATTATTTTTTGGTGTTGCAAAGAACTTCATTCACAGGTTTTGGTCTTTTATTTTGTGGGTCTGCATTGGTAGAAAGTGTTAAGCAAATTACTTCATTGGTGTTCGATATAGGGTTTGATTGTTTACTGTTTGAGTATGGCCGAAAGCATTAGCGTGGGTGGCAAGCATGAGCATGAATAGTGAGAAGACGATGAAGTATGTAGTTAACATATAAGACAAAGTTGTGAAAAACTAATGTGTTGTTGGTAAGGGAGGAAGTGGGGTTCTGTTATAGACAGCGATGAAAGTGAATAATGTATACTGTTTATTGTGTTTTTGCATATTCGAGCATGGTAGAAGGCATTAGCTTGGGTGGCCCAACCTCTTTGAAGGAACTTTTGTGTTATTTTCATGTTGGAGGGACATTTGTAGTTGACGAGGAAGGTGGAGTTCAATATAAAGGGGGTAATGTGAGGTTAAGGAGCATAAAAGAAGCCATTACAGTTGAAGATTTAAGGGGGAAGATATCATTATGGTTTGGAATTGATAGTAATAATTGTGAGATGAAATATATAGTAAGTTTTGATGAGAAGACATTGGTAGATTTAGTTGATGATGGTGAGATTGGGAACTTTTTTCAGTATAATGAGAGGCATGGCCATCTATACGTAGCATGTAAAGAGAAAGAAAGTGGTGCTGATATAATAGAAGATCTGGAAATGTAAGTGATATTTAATAGGCTATAGAAGTTGTCATTTGTTATATTATTGTTGTTAATTTCGTTACTGAAATTGTCACTGTGCATGCAAAGTTGACAGATTGTTGGGCCTGTCACAAGAAAGGTCTGGCTCATTTAGCAGTATGGAAACTGAATATGAACCAGTGGGGTATGAAGATATGGGTGCGGCCTTAATGTATGAAGTTAGAGGCTGTTCTAGCAATATAACATGTGGAGTACAGTATGCACCAACACCATATCTTGAGATGAATTGTTCAAAATGGAGGGAATTGATTTTAGGACAGCTGCAAAATTTTGCACATACAAAAGAGTTTAAAAAGTCAGTGCACAAATATAGAATAGCACATGATTTTGAGTTCAAGTATGTGAAGAATAGTAAGGACAAGATGTTGGTGAGATGCAAGGTTGAAGGTTGCCCATGGAAGATATGTGCAAATGCAGTGGGGAAGAAGACTCCTTTCCTATGCGTGACGACATTTGTAAATGAACATGTGCATAGTGCGCAAGACAATCTCCAAGTCAGCCATGGTGGAAGAGCTAGTTTGACATCAGCAATTATAATTGATGAGGTAAAGAATCACATAGACAAACGGCCTACTGAAATAATGACAATGTTGAAAAGAGACTATGGGGTGAATCTAACATACAAGCAAGCATATAAAGCTAAGAAAAAGCAATGGAGGAAATACAAGACAGACCTGAGCAATCTTACATGCTAATACCTTGGATTTGTCAAAGACTAAAGGAAAGTGATGAAAAAACTACTGCTGAATGGGTTGCTACTGGGAATAACATATTTGAGCGAGTTTTCATAGCTTATGGGTGTTGTATAGAGGGTTTCTTAACTGGTGGTAGGCACATATCGTATATGGATGGAACTCACCTAAGTGGACCATATAATGGAACATTGCTGTCAGCATCGGCTTATGATGCGGACAATGAATTGTTACCATTTGCAATTGCCATTGTAAAGAGGGAAACATATGAGGATTGGTCATGGTTTCTGTATATGATTAAAAATATCATTGGCTCTAGACAGTTAATAATAGTTTCAGACTGTCACAATTCAATCATAGCAGCTGTCTGAGCAATATTTGGAAGTGAGAGGCATGTATTGCTATAGGCATGTGAAGGAGAACTTCAGTGCAGAACTAGTTAAAGCAAACAGAGGCAAGAGAAAGACAAGTAAGTCCATGAAGGAAGATGGGTTGCAATTGCTTGATAATATCGCATATGCAAGGCTTAATGGTGAGTTCGATAAGGCAATGGACCACATGCATTGTTTCTCTCCACAGTTATTCCAGTGGCTCAATACTCATGGAGATGTGGGGAAAAATGGGCATTGAGTAAGTTTCCATATCGACCGTGGGACAATATAACTACAAACCTTGCCGAATCATTTAATACTTGGTTGATAAAGGAAAGGAGGCACAACGTTACACAGTTTATCCATAAGCACCGTGAGAAGGTAGCCAAAAAATGTATGCAGCTAGTGTGACAATGGGTAGATGGAGAAATGGAATAGGACCAAATATTGATGAACACGTAAAGAAAAATGTTGCCCTTGCTGAACATATGTTGCCTGAACCGTATGGTGGGGGCAGGGTTGTTGTCCACACATCCCATGGAGCCTTGCGTGTTGATCTCGGTGCATACACATGTAGTTGTGCAGCTTGGCAAATGTCGAGGATCCCTTGTCCACATGCTTGTATAGCCATAAAGTCCATGCATGGAAATGTCTATGACTTTGTTGAAAATTACTACAAGATCACATCCCAAGAAAAGATTTACTCCCGCTGCATGATACCAGTGGTCCCCATTGACAGGCCTGACCCAAATACCATTTTGATGGAAAATATTTCAGAGCAAATTTTTCTGTTCCCACCTCAGACTAGTCGACCTGCTGGAAGGCCAAGAGCTAACAGACGCGAATCACAATTCTAGAACAAGAAGATATGCCACTGTGCAAATTGTGGTGAAGCTGGTTATACACGGAGGACCTGCAAAAAA